TAGACAATATATTCAAAGGAGAAAAAAAATACAGATCTCTGAAGACCTCACTCTGACAACTCACTTAACAAGCACAAACTGTTTGTTCTCAGAAAAGTCAGCTTTTGAATTTGGAGAAGTTGAAAGGTTCATTTTTGGAAACAGCTTGTCCTCAAGTTTTTTAGTAGTTCAGTTAAAGAGAGTGGGAGTCATAGAATGAGTGCAATGGAAATACTTTAACCTTCCCAGTGACCTTCTTTGGTGCATGATAGGGAACTGTCCAATGTTCAAATAAATCAAATTTCTGCTGTTTCCTGAATGATGCTTAATAAACAGCACTCTACTTTGAAACCAGTCCCTATAATTTCTAAAAATCTGATTGTTCAGAAAAAAAGAAATTACACAGCGAAGTAGAAACATCCAAGCATGATTAGATAGTTAAGTACTGCTATTTACTATAATAAGACCATTTTAAGATAGTTTTATTTACATATTTAATATGTAAATAGCCTAGAGTATTTATGTAGAAAGGCTGTAAGCGTTGCGGTTAAGATTTCAAGCTCTAAATCTCTGGATTTAACCTGAGCTCCTCAATTTACTAGCGTTCCATTGGGCAACTTAATCTCTGTAAGCTTCAGCTTCCTCACAGGTACAATTGGAATAGTAATAGTATTTGACTCATAGGGTTATTGTGACTCTTAAATTAGATAGTACTGAGGGTCACTAAGTAATAATTTGATCTTTATATTTAAAACATTGTGTCAAATAGATTTTCAGCATCTATTTAGGTAGAGAAGGCTCATTATAAGCAGAATCAGAGAATATTAAAGTCCGTCTAGTGAGTGCTTTCATTTTACAAGCAAGAAAACTTAGCAGTATTATAGGTTTTATTCTGACAAAGATTTTTATACTCTGAGCACAAGTGCAGGGTTAGGGACTCAGGATCCCAATAGAGCGGTGGGCCTCGTGGGGCGCCTCTACAGGTGTTTGCGGTGCATCAAGTATCTACTGCTTGGCTTCAACCTGATCTTTTGGCTGACCCGGTCAGCTGCCATTGCTTTTGGACTATGGTTTTGGTTTGGAGGCACCATGAAGGATTTATTATCAGAGGATGAGTCATCGCAGTATATCTACCTGGGACTTTCTGTGCTGGTGGGAGCAGGAGCGCTAATAGCCATGGGCTTCTTCAGGTGTTAGGTAGCCATGAGGCAGTTTCAATGTGTGCTCAGCTTTTTCACCTGCCTACTTGTGATAATTGCTGCTGAAGTAACCATGGGAGTATTTGTTTTGATAGGCAAGGGTGTAGCTGTATGACATGCTCAGACCACGTATGAAGAGACTTATTATAACTATTACCTTACAGATAGGGAAAAGGGAAATAGGACTCTCAGTACTTTCTACCCAACATTTCAGTGCTGTGAAACAAAAGGTCTGAACAGGTCCAACCCATATGCCCGAAGGAGCTTCTAGTACACAGACATTGTATTGATGAAATTGAGACCATAATCAGAGTTAAGCTTCAGGTCATCAGAATTTGTTGGTATTGGAATTGCAGGTCTCACGGTCTTTGGCATGATGTTCAACATGGTCCTTGGGTGTGCAATGAATGCTAGATGCATGAGATGTGATATGAAGCCACTTCTACATGAAAATTGCAAGATACAGCTTTCACATGGCTGTTGCAGGAATGGTCTCCTAGCTCATTTTTAACATTCGAAGGACACTTCGGATCTAAAATAATCTGCTGTTAATTGTACATTTGCACATGTATGAAGGTTTGGCTCATTACTGATTTACCCCTTGAGTAAATGCCTACTGCCTATGTTGACTGAAAGTATATTCATGTGTGATCTGCATATTTCTGGTATATGCATTATATATAATGAAATCTGTTTGCTGGGAATTCTAGATTCTTGTTATGTAAGAGCAACAACCTATTTACCTCTGAAAAAAGATAAAAAAATTTTATAACCTTTAAAAACTTGGGTATTCAAAAAAGATTTTTCTAAGAATATTCCATAAACTTCATAAAAAGTATTAGTTGACACATTTAAATATCTTTAAAATAGACCAAGGAATATCTTAGTAAAACAGTAATAATTCCCCTCCATAAAGCCAGTTTATGCTTTAGAAACTAGAAAGATGTTATATCATCTGGTGAAAAAATTAGGCTTTAGAAATATTATAGAGATATCCAAAATCTATAAAGAACTTATTAAACTCAACACCCAAAGAATAAATAATCCAATCAAGAAATGGGCAGAAGACATGAACAGACATTTTTCCAAAGAAGACATCCAAATGGCCAACAGACACATGAAAAAGTGTTCAACATCGCTCGGCATCAGGGAAATCCAAATCAAAACCTCAATGAACTACCACCTCACACCAGTCAGAATGGCTACAATTAACAAGTCAGGAAATGACAGATGTTGGCGGGGATGTGGAGAAAGGGGAACCCTCCTACATTGTTGGTGGGAATGCAACCTGGTGCAGCCACTCTGGAAAACAGTATGGAGGTTCCTCAAACAGTTGAAAATAGAGCTACCCTATGACCCAGCAATTGCACTACTGGGTATTTACCCCAAAGATACAAATGTAGGGATCTGAAGGGCTACGTGCACCCCGATGTTTATAGCAGCAATGTCCACAACAGCCAAACTACGGAAAGAGCCAAGATGTCCATTGACAGATGAATGGATAAAGAAGATGTGGTATACACACACACACACACACACACACACACACACACAATGGAATATTATGCAGCCATCAAAAGGAATGCAAATCTTGCCATTTGCAACAACGTGGATGGAAATGGAGGGTATGCTGAGCGAAATAAGTCAATCAGAGAAAGACATGTATCATATGACCTCACTGATATGAGGAATTCTTAATCTCAGGAAACAAACTGAGGGTTGCTGGAGTGGTGGGGCATGGGAGGGATGGGGTGGCTGGGTGATAGACATTGGGGAGGGTATGTACTATGGTGAGTGCTGTGAATTGTGTAAGACTGTTGAATCACAGACCTGTACCTCTGAAACAAATAATACATTATATGTAAAAAAAAAAAAAAAGAAGAAGAAGATAGCAGAAAGGGAAGAATGAAGGGGGAAATCGGAGGGGGAGACGAACCATGAGAGACTATGGACTCTGAGAAACAAACTGAGGGTTCTAGAGGGGAGGGGCATGGGGGGATGGGTTAGCCTGGTGATGGGTATTAAAGAGTGTACGTACTGCATGGACCACTGGGTGTTATACGCAAACAATGAACCATGGAACACTACATCAAAAACTAATGATGTAATGTATGGTGATTAACATAACATAATAAAAAAACTAGAAAAAAACTAATGTACATCATTAGTTTAATGTATGGTGATTAACATAATAAAAAAATAGAAAAAATGAAATATTATAGAGATTCATACCTCTAGTTTTTACCTTTATAACTATTCTTTTAAGATTTAAATAGCTTTATTGAGACATAATTCAAATGCCATACAATTTACTTAAAGTGTACAATTCAATGGTATTTACCATGTTCCCAGAGTTGTGTAACTATAACTACAAAAAGAAACTTCATACCATTAACAATCAACCCCCTTTTTCCCCAACCTTCCCTAGACCTAGGCAACCACTAATCTACTTTTTGTATCTATAGATTTGCCAATTTTGGACATTTCTTATAAATGGAATCATACAATCTTTTGTGACTGGCTTCTTTCATTCAGCATAATGTTTTCAAGGCTTGCTCATGTTGTAACATGTATTATTACTCATTCCTTTTTATTATATATCACATTGAATAATATCACATTGTATGGATAGATCACATTTTATTTATCCATTCTTTAGTTGATGGTCATTTGGGTTGTTTCTCCTTTTTGGCTATTATAAATATTGCTTCTCTGAATATTCATGTGTGAGTTTTTGACTGAACATGTATTTTATCTTGGGTATATACTTAAGAGTGGAATTGTTCAGTCATACAGTAACTCAATGTTTTATATTTAAGGAACTGAAAATTACTTTCCAGAGTGGTTGCATCATTTTACATTCCCGCCAGCAATGCGTGAGTTTTGTAATTTCTTCACATCCTGGCCAATACTTATTTGTCTTTTTGATTATAGTCATCCTAATGAGTGTGAAGTGGTATCTCATTGTGGTAGAAAAAGAAAACTTTCACCTCATTTTCTATCCCAGAAGTTTTGGAAAGTACACTAATTTTAACATAAACCTAAGTAAATCAGTTTGAAAAGTCCTTTATGTCACTCTCTCCCCCACATTTCCCTTCTGTCAGGACCTTGAGAGAGAATTCAGAATTGAACTGGGCTCCACAATTCTCTGATTCTAGAGATTGCAGACTTTCTTCATGGCATCAGTGAACTGATGCTTATCAAGACAGATTTAAAATAGCTCTTCTTGGCTTTTAATATAAAATAGAAGCCAAGGAAGAGCTGTTTCCCCAAACCAGAGCCAGCTTCCACACTTATTCCCACATGTTTCCCCCTAACTATGAGAAGACATCATTACTCCACCCCCAACTGCATCCCTGTGTATTTTATTCTGTGAGAAGTTCTGGAGAATATATAAAGGATAACTTTTTCCCTTTTATTCTTACCATTATCATTGGCATATTTATTGTACATCTACCATAAGTGGGGCATTTTGTATCAAAGATATGGTCCCAATTATTAAGGACTTTTTTCTCTTGAGAGGGGTAAAGAGTAGAGAATTTTATTTTTCCCTATTTGTTTTGTTATTTCTGTAAGAGTAATTAATTCTTCATTTAAGAAACTAAGACCATTAATTATACTTCCAGTTTAGTACAGAAGACTGAATTATAGCTTAGATCTGTTTAAAATTTATATTCATAGTTTACATTTATCTAAATTGAATATCTATAGCTATTGAAATTGGGAACAACCAGAATAGCTATTGAATTAATCATAGAGTCCTGTTTTTTTCTCTTCAAATTTTTCTTGTCAGTAATATCATGCTTGTTATGCAATTCTTACCTAGCAGTCAGAAGTCCAAGTGCCTCCAAAGGGCAAGAAAATTTCCATCTTCTCAAAATGGTATGTATTTCTGAAACAGTCCTTTCATCCCATCCAGGGGCACTACCCAGGACCAAAGGAAGGGAGCAGTTTTCATTATTGCAGTAGAAGCGATAAAACCATAAGTATCTTCTCTTTTCCTCAGAGAGTCTGCAAAACCAGATTGGAAACTGTAATTTATTGGAGTTTGCTACACTAACAAATGTTATAGTACAAAATCTTACTCAGTTCTTTGAATTTCATTTTAGTTTACTTTGGAAAACATGTCCTTTTTCTTCTTGGGACAATTTGATAGGTTATTTTATGAGCTTATTTCCTACTAACTTCCTTCTTTTATGGAAAAATACAATAGAGTTCAGTTCAGATAATTCACATTTATTTTTCCTCCCTCTCATTTTGTCATAATAATGACAAAAATGTCATTTTGGTTAACAAAATCTCTGTCTCCTTTAGGGCAGAGCAAGTTTTATCTGAATCCTGCCACATGTACTACTTAGAACAGAGGTAATCGAAAATTTACTCTCTTACTTTCTTTACAAGTTAATTTAGACCCAAGTGTGCCTGTGAAGCAATGGCATTTTTAAAATATGATATTCCTTCATCTCAAAGCAAGTTTCATGAGAGTTCAGAAAACTCTGCACTAAACTTCAAAAACAAAGATTTCAATTCATCGCTGGATTTGGGCTTTAAATTCTTATATTTAGCTGGAAGTTTGGAGTTAGAATGCCAGTGAATAGGATTTCTTTAAATGCCCAAGTGTTTCCCCCTAGAGAATGGTTCCAAACAGAAGATCGAAATCTAGGACTAGGGCCATTGACTTGCTGACAGTTTATCATATTTTGATCACACTCCAGCAGAAGCATTCAGAACCACAGTTCAACTGGAGGACAGCATTTCTCACATGACAATGACAGCTTTTGAACACTGTCTCCTCCAAACTGACAGTGTTGCTCAGCTTAAAGTAGCTAAAACTTCTAAGAAGGATAGTAAGAAATATTAAAATATTTTAAAGGTTAATATTTCTCTGCAGTTTTAAAAGCCACCTTCATCTACAAAATGAAAGGGCTGGATTATAGAGATTTTTGAAGTATATTTGGGTTCCTGTCCTATTTTGTCACTACCTTCCCCACCAGAAAGTCCTCAGAAGAAAAAATTCTGTTACAAAATTATCAAATTATGACTAAACCAAATTAGTTTGTTCTAATTAAATTCCTTTCTCCCCAGTATTGAACAAGACATTTTTCTTTTACTTTCTTTTAGTGAAGCATACTTTACATCAAAAGGAATGTACACATTCAGTTCAATAAATTTTAACAAATGCATATTCTGAATAAAAACCATACTCCTTTCAAGATACAAGTTTTCTCATGCAAACAGAGGTAAGCACTGGCAGGATTTCTTTCACTCAGGATTAATATTACCTATTTTAGAACTTCACATAAATGGAATCATAGAGTAAATATTTTTATTTATAGCTTCTTTCACTCAGTATGTTTTAAAATTATCCATATTTTTGAGTATATCAGTAGTGCATACATTTTAACTAATGAGCATTATTCCTTTGTATGAATACACCACAGTTTGCTTATCCATTCTCCTATCTGATGGACATTTGAAGTTCCTGTTTGGGGATATCATGAGTAAAGTTGCTGTAAACATTTATATGCAAGTGTCTGTAAGGATGTATTTTTTCATTTATCCTAGGAAGTTCCTGGGAGGGGGATGACTGGGTTTTATAACAGGTGTTTGTTTACCTTTTGAAGAAACTGTCAAAATATTTTCTGAAGTGGTTGTAAAATTTTACACTATTATGTGCAGAATATGATAGTGCTGGTTGTACCACATTCTTGCTAACACTTGATTTTGCCCATTTTAAGATATTATCCATTCTAATGGGTGCATAGTGGTATCTATACAACTAATTTGGGGAGAATTAGAGTTGTCATCTTAACAATAGGGAGTATTCTAATCAATGACATGCTATAACCTTCCATTTATTGAGGTATTCTTTAATTTCTCTTAGCAAAGTTTTATACTTTTTAATGTAGAGGTTTTGATAGTTAATTGAATTTTATTTTATTTTTATTTTTTAATTTATTTTATTTTTTTACTATTAACAAATAATGTATTATTTGTTTCAGGGGTACAGGTCTGTGATTCATCAGTCTTACACAATACACAGCACTCACCACAACACCATACCCTCCCCAATGGCCTAAAGATTTATTTATTTATTTGAGAGAGAGAGAGAGAGATTGAGTGGGGTAAGGGGCAGAGGAAGAGGGAGACAAGCAAATTCCCTGCTGACTGGAGAGCCCATCAAGGGGCTTGATCTCATGACCCTGAAGTCATGACCTGAGCCGAAATCAAGGGTGGGACACCTAACTGACTGAGCCACCCAGGTGCCCCTGTAAATTGAATTTTAAAAGAAAATTTATTTTCTGTTTTTCACTGAAATACAATTGCATTTTGTACATTGATGCCAAATGCTATGATCTTACAATAATCATATCATCTGAAAATAGAGGAAGTTTTATTTCCTTCTTTCCCAGTTTGACACATTTAATTTCTTTTTCTTATGATAGTGCACTGGCTAGGACTTCCAATACAACACTGAAGAAAAATATTTAGATAGATATCCTTGCTTTCTAGTTGTAGGGGGAAAGCATTGGGGGAAAGCATTCATTCTTGCAACATTTAATATGATGTTAACTCTAGATTTTTCCATAGATCTAGATTTAACTCGGGATTTTAAGGTTGAGAAAGTTCCATTCTATTCCTAGTTTTGTGAGTTTTTATTATGAATGAGTGTTGAATTTTGTCAGTTGTCTTTTCCCCCAAATCTATCAAGATGATATAATTTTTCTTATGTATCTTTTTCCATTTTTAAAGTTTTAATCTAGCTGAATCCTTATATTTAAAATATAGGCCTGTAAGTAGCATAAAGTTGCATGTTGCTTTTGTAAGGTAGGTGACAGTTTCTGTTTTTAATTAGAGTTTTTATTCCATTTATATTTAACATAGTATGGATATAATTGGTTTTAATTCAACCATATTGCTATTAGTTTGTTGTTGTTGTTTTCAAAGCATTTCTTTGTCCCTTTTCCCTTTTTTCCTGTCATCTTTTGAATTATTTTCTTGTATTTCATTTTTGTCTTCCTCTTGTTCTGTAAATGTGCACCTAAAATTTGGGTGGTGTAGTTCTCTAGAGATTGCAGTATTATCTTTAGCATATCACAGCCAACAGTGAATTAATATTAATTCGCCTTCTGTATAAGAACCTTAAAACAGTATGCTTTCATTCTTCCATTTCTTATTCTTATTATAGTTGTCATGCATTTTATTTTCATATATTACAAACCCAGCAGTACATTGTAATTATTTTTGCCTTATATAGTTAATTATTTTTTAAAGAAATTGTTAAATGTGTAAGTAAAAGTAATTTTATTTCCCACCTATTTTCCCTTTGTAGTGCTTTTCATTTATTCTTATATATTGAGCTTTCATCTATTTATCCTTTTCTTTCAGCTGGTAGTATTTCCTTTAAGATTTCTTACAGTACACATAAGCTGATCATAAACAAATTCAGCTGTGTTTAATTGGAAATATTTTTATTCCACCTTCATTTTTTAAATATAATTTTACTGGTTATAGAATTCTAAGTTGATAGATTTTCTTTTTCCCTTTCTAGATATAAGATAATAGTCTACTGTCTTTTGGCTCCCCTTATTTCTGATGAGAAATCTGCAGTTAATATGATAGTTGTCCCCCTGTAGGAATTTGTTTATTTTCTCTGATGCTTTAAGAATTTTTATCTTTATGTTTAGTTTTTAGAAATTTGACTATAATATGGATGTGTAGGGGTGTCTGTGTGCTTGTTTGGGAGTTGCTAAGTTTCTTATATCTGTGGGTAGAAGTTCAAAAAAAATTGTAAAATTTTGACTATTATCACTTATTTTTTATTTTATTTTTTTTGGCCTAGATCTTTCTCTCCACTCCTGTGTGTCCAATAAACATATTGTCAGTATTGTCTGACAGGTTACAAGGATCTATCACTATTTTTAGGATTCTTTTGTTCTGTACTTCAAAATGGCTTATTTTGTATCACCCTTTCTTCAAGCTCACTGTTGTTTCTTTATTATGCAATCTATAAGCCTTTCCAGTGATTTTTAGAAATATTGATACTGTGTTTTTCAGCTTTTAAATTTACAATGTTATTTACTGAGACTTCATTTGTTCACTCATATATATCTTTTTTTTTTGGAAATCCATAGATGTCTTTATAATAGCTGTATTTAAATCATTAGCTGCTAGTTTAAAAATATTTGGATTTGTCTCTATTAACTGCTTCCTCCTATCCTGGGCTATGGTTATATATTCCTGAGTCTTTCTATGTCTAGCAATTATTCATTGTATGTTAAATATTTAAAATGCTACATTGTCTGCATTTTGCCATCTTTTTGGTGTTAAATGTTTTGATATTTTTTAGTAGACAGTTTAAGCACTAGCAGATCAAATTTAGCCTTTTTTTAAATTATTATTATTTTTAAAATTTTTTTATCGTTATGTTAATCACCAAACATTACATTATTAGTATGGATGTAGTGTTCCATGATTCATTGTTTGTGCATAACACCCAGTGCTCCACGCAGAACGTGCCCTCTTTAATACCCATCACCAGGCTAACCC